TATATTTTAAATTCACATGTGTGAATGACATTTGAGAGATGCAGAGGTTAAGTTTTCAGTGAAAAACAACTTTAATTTCAACCTTCTCAAAGTTTCAGAAGAATGAATCTTTTATAGCACACTTTTAGCATCAAATTTAGCACTTAATGGCACCAGTTCCTTTCTATTTTTATAGTATAAAAAGAGACATTGCCCACAAAAAAAATAAATAAAAATACAGCAATGCCATAGAATAACCATTTTTGGTGTGATGAACATTTTAAACTACATTAAAAAAACTACCTTTTTCCACTAAAGAACCTTTTGTGGAAAATAAAGTTTTAATGGATGTTAAAGGTTCTTCATGGAACCACAGATGCCAATAAAGAACCTTTATTTTTTAATAGTGAACTTTGGTGGGGAAAGTCATACATGTCTGGAATGAATAAAAATGTTAGTTCTAAGTATTATTATTATTATTTTTCAGAACTGAAATATCAAATGGCTCAGATGTTTTTTGGAATTAGGAATTGCATCCTTTTTGTTTGCAAAAATCTTGCTTCCTATTATCAGCTGATGGCAAAGAGCACTTCACTGTCTGGAAGAAATTTGTAATCAAAGACGAAAAAGTTGGGCAAATTAAACAGCTCAGCTGGTAAGGGAAAATGTCAAGTGGTTTGTTTGTAAGTTTGTTTGGCGCAAGTATTGAACTTCCACAAGCATGCTTCATATAAACCACTGACAGCAAGAAACAAACATCTCAGGCCTTTTAAGTTCAACTCACCTGCTCAAATGTAAAACCAAATCACGATTTAGCTACATTCACCTTCGCCTTCTCCAATTTCCTTTCACTGCATCATTTTCTGTTTTGATTTACCTCAGTGGAATGCTACAATGTCACTTTGTGTCTTTTCAGATGGTGTCTCAGATGGATAAATCAAATGGCACAGAATAGGGGAATTAAGGTTGTGCGGTGTGATAGTTAAAATGTGTCAAACTCTGCTGGTTTTGTTACTGTTATATATGTGTGTGTGTGTGTGTGTATTTATATACAGTATATACAGTTTTCTGTGAGCATACTGTATCTGTGGGAAGTGATGAATAAAATGTAAGAGTGGCGAAAAGCAAAGTAATTTGGGAATACAGAGTGGGATGCAATTCATTTTATGTTAGTTTTACTACTTTGAGTATTTAGATTTTAAATGAAGTGTTGCATCATGTGAACATGTTTTTGCCAGACTTCTCATTTATGAATCAGATTTTTTCCCCCAACGAGATAAAGTGGTTAATTCACTTTATTATCAAAAAAAGGCTTTACCACGTGGTTGTTTAATATGCAGCTTCTTTTTCATTGGATTTCCAGAAAAAATAAATAGACATACCAATACGCTGATATAAAATGACCATTATATGGAGAAATTGACAGTTCACCCAAAAATGAAAATTCTGTCATTATTTACCTGTATGACTTTTTTTTTCCTCTGCAGAAAAAAATAAGATATTTTAAATAATGTTCTGCACAACATTGGACCCAATTGACTCGTTGTATGAAAAAAAAAAAAGTAATACAAGTTTGGAATGACATGAGGGTGAGTTAATAAAATATAATATGTTTTGCCCAACATTGGACCACATTGACTTTGCCATTGTTTGTACAAAAAAGAAAGTCATACAGGTTTGGTAAAACATGAGGTTAAGTAAATAATGACCAAATTTTCATTTTTGGGCCATATCTTCTGCCAGAAAGGGAAATCATGTTGCTTGAAGTGTTCCTTGAATCATGACAGCGTGTTGAAGAAACGCAAAGTCTAAAATAATAAGCCTGGCCCTGAGTCAATGAGAACAAGAGAAACAGACAGGGAATTAGAATGCAGCGTGTGTTTGGTTGAAGTGTGTGTGTGATGCTAAGGTAATCACATGCTAACTGGGTGGGTGATCAGGGTGGAGTGACGTGTGTGTGTGTGTGTGTGTGTGTAGCAGACAGCTCGCCCCTGTCACTACGCACTGCTGTTAGAGAACAAAGGAAGATGCCTAGCAGGGGATGGAGATCATTGCGGTCCCCTCTCAGCATTCTGAGCAGTCGCCCTGCCAAGCCTCGTCTTTTCAGGGGCAAACCTTCCTCGTCTCTGCTGTTCGGCAGGTTGCACGACCTTTCCTGTCAGTTCGGCATTAAGAGGGAATACAACATTACAACAACCAGTGCCACCCACCACTAACTGAAAATACAAGGCAAGAACAAAGATCCCTCAGTGCAAGAAAGTCAAGTACCACCAAACACAGTGTCTTTTCTGATCCAAGCATGTGTTGGGAGATAATGTAACTGAACAGATGAAAGGAATAGTTCACCTATAACTGAAGATTCTGTCACCATTTACTCAACCTCATGTCATTCACATTCATTGTAATTGCATGGAAAAGAGTGGCCAGTGTGGAAGAAAAGAAGGCTCACATGAGGTGAGCGAATTTCCCTTTGAAAGGGAACTTCAGTCTTCAAATACACATTTTGACAACATTAAAAGTGAAGTTCAGAGAACTTTCATGGAATTTATTCTGCTCCTTTCATCAGCTGAAAAGTTGCAACTGCATTTTCCATGCTGTCATGTGTTAGTATACACTACAGATTTAAAAGACACACCTACTCACTCCTTTCCTCATTTAGAATAATATGTGAATCAGATCATAACTATTTTCAATTTGAGCTTCTTCAAAATCACCACTCCTTGAGGACATTCTCTCAACCAACTTAATGAGGATCTTCAGATGCTTGGGCACTTGCTGGCTTCTTTTCCTTAAAAAAAATTAAAA